TCACCTTATATTCGCTTAGCTTAATTAGAATCATATAGGTTTGTAGTGCATTCATCACTTAGTCCTCAGTGGATCGACTCCTAAGTACTACAATTGTCTTTATTGTGCACTTGCAGTTTCCTAGGGTTATGAATTTAAAACTCGTATTGTAAAATAGAACGTCATCAATAGCCTCTTCCATATTGTCTCTTCCGTATTCTCAGAATAGAAAAATTAAAACAGAGAGAAATGTGTATCACAAATAGATTTTGGGATTTTGGGTGGTGAAAACATTGTAGACAAAACAATATGGAATGAAACAACGCATTTAGAGACTTTGTGTGGGTAATTCAAGAGGGGATGATTACATAAATAGGTACTTTCATGTAAACTCTTTTCAGTAAAAGGCACTTTGCAAGGGAGGTATACTTTGAACTTGTATATTGTCTATGCTACCCTTAACTAAATTTGTTAATATCTAATTTGCCATTTTCTAGTTACAAACCTTTGTTCAATTTTAACTTTTTATCCTAATATATTTTAGTTGGAGAATAAGAAGATTTTTTTTCGATGAACCAAAAGTTCCCACCGCCACTGTTCAATCACCGTTCCACGTAAATCCACCATCTCTGCCACCGCAAAAAAGGGTTTGATGACAGAGACTTCCGACCCTGAAATCGAACAAGTTTCAATGAATCCCAATACTAGATCTGAGAAACTAATCGTTGTCACCGTCGCAGCCACTACCCCTAAGAAGAAGGAAGATTTGTCTTCTACTACTTTAGCTTTTCCAGCGGTGAAATCAAGTATGAAGCAGCCAAGTGAAGGGACTTCGAAGGACAATAAGGCGAAGCGTGTGAAGAAGGTTACTTTAGGAGAAGATGAGAAGATTGATGAAGATACAAAGAGACTCATTTTGAAGACACTAATGGGTTTTACGGTTTCATAAAGAAATTGATCGATTAGCTTTGAGGTTAGTAAGAACCAATTCATTGATAAGATTAGTAGTTTGAAAATTGCCATTTAGGATTTGGGCCATCAACTCTAAATCTCATTATGTAGTTTAGGATTCAAGAACATATTTGTTGTTGCTAGAATTCGTGTCCATATGGACACTATAAACTGGTCAATGTTTCATGGATACTAAAAACATGGTGGTCACAGTTCCATGGATACTATAAAACTGGTCTCAACTTCACTTTTTCAGTTTCTCCAATTCCTTCAACAATCTATTTTGTGATAGATTTGTGTGTGAATATAGGGTTGTGTGTTGTATTTTTTGGGTTTAATTTTTAGTAGCTTTCTCTTCCTTTCATGGTTTTATGACTTTATGTTGTTACTCTCTGAGATTTTTATATGGGAAAGATGAGGTTCTGCTATCTTACAAATTATTGTTTAGCTTGTGGATGCCATAGATGGACGTCTATTTGTGGATGATCTTTGCAAAAGAGAAGCTTTGTTTCAATGTCTTATGTTGTGCTCAAATGGGATGGAGAAGAATTTGTATCTAGGATGCAATATCCATGACAAAAGTCCAGGATGCATTATCTACAACATAATGTCGATGATCATTTAACGAAGTTTGTAATCTCTGATCCATCCCCCACCTCGTGAGTATATATCAGTAAAACTTCAAGCATACAAATGATATGTTATTGTTTATTGTTAGAAATTTATGTCTGTTGGGCTTTAATCATCACTAGCTCTTTTTGTTTCTTAATCTCTTATTATCTTGCTGATTTTGATGGCACAAAAAGTGTGGTTTGTGTAATTATCTAACAATGACAAATATGTGGTATTGCATCAAGCGATTGTGTAACCATAATGAGTTGATCACATGGTCATTTTATCTGTGGATACGTTCACCTGGATAAATAATCATGGATACGTTCTCGACGATGGTTTGGTTATCGTAGATTGCTTCAATAAAATGTAAAGAGTCATAAGCACATAATATCAACTCGAACCACACTATCACGTCCATGATACCATATCCATTATACAAAAGAAAATAATTGATTCCTCCAGAAGACAACGAAATTCATCGATGGATATAAATGCAAACATGAGATTTTGATTGACTTGTCCACACAAACTTGTTCATAAATCCCTAAGAAGATCCAACAACTACATCGACCATAATAATATGTAAACATGAACATTCTCATGAACATTGTACATTATATTCTCTAATCATGGACACTTTAACTTCCCATCTAATTCTAGTGTCCTCAGTCACCAACCAACCATTGAATAACTCACATCTTTGGGTCGTTGGGATTGTTGGTTTTAGTCTAAAATTTCTTGAACTTGAACAAAAATTTTCTAAAAATTCTACAACATTTTACCATCCATTTGTCAGTTTGATGGTGGAGTTTCAAAAATTACACAATCATATGTCATCTACGCTAACTCGACCACAATATATTATCCATGCTAGCGTGGATGACATATGATTGTGGACTAAGTCATTTACTTAGTTTTTCTCATTTTACTAGTTTTTGGAGTCACTCTTTTATTTATTGTACCTGCTTGTTTATATGATTTACAATTCTAGATTTCCTGCAAATATCCCTTAAAGCTTGATGCTTTTAATTCATAATTTACATCG